CATTGCTATGTACTCAGCTTCGGTTGTAGAAAGCGCCACACAACTTTGCTTGCGCGATTGCCAAGAAACAGCGGCACCGCACATAAGGAAGATATAGCCACCGGTGGACTTGCGTGTGCTCAAATCTCCCGCCCAATCTGCATCGGTAAATCCTTGGAGGGAGCTTGCATGTGGGCTGGCTTGGGAGAGAAGACCATGATTAGAAGTACCTTTGAGATACCGAAGAGCTCGCTTGGCTGCATGCATATGGATAGGTGATGGGGCACTCATGTGTTGAGCGAGCTTGGATACCGTGAATGCTAGGTTGGGCCTTGTGCATAGGGCTGCATACATGAGACACCCAACCTGACTTTGGTAGAGAGCTAGGTCTTGTGGGGATACCTTGGGTGAATTCTCACCATGATGCTCACTCTCCTCAAGACACAACTCCTCAATACCCGTGATATCCAGGCTTGACTCTCTCTCCTCAAAGGGCTGATGTGAAGAAAAAGGGACAAAGTTGGTAGGAAGTGGGGTAGGTGATGGCTTGCTATCATCAAGACCAAACCTCTCAAGGACCTTTTGGATGTACCTTTGCTGGAATAGGAAGATGGACCGTGACTTATGATCTCTCACAATGTTCATACCAAGATAATGACTCGGCTCACCAAGATCGGTCATTGTGAATGCACTCATGAGAATACCTTTCACCTTGTTGAGGAGATCAAGAGAACCTGAGACTAGGAGGAGATCATCGACATATACCAAGAGCCAAATGTACTCCCCCTCACTCGTGGGGACTTTTTGAGACCATAAAGGGACTTTACCAAGCGACAAACTCGACCCGTACCATCATCATAACCTTCGGGTTGTGCCATGTATACCTCTTCTTCCAAGACACCGTAGAGAAATGCGTTCTTGACATCCATTTGATGGATATGGAGACCAAGATATGCGGCTATGGCGAGGAGGACTCGTACCGTGGTGTACTTCGCTACTGCGGCAAAGGTTTCGGTGAAGTCTAGACCTGGAATTTGGGAATAACCTTTTGCCACTAACCTTGCCTTGTACCTATCAAGAGCTACCATCACCTTTTACCCTAATCTTGTACACCCACTTGACACCAATTACCTTCTTCCCTGGAGGTGGCTCAACAAGACGCCATGTACCTCTCTTCATGAGACTCTCAATCTCTTCTTCCTCGGCCTTCAACCATTGCTCTCTCTCGGGACTTGCCACTGCCTCACGACGACTCAATGGCTCTCGTGGAAGGTGTGACGCTGCCATGCATATTGCCTCTACCTTCTTGTGAATGCAATCCTCGCTCTCCTCACATGTGCACCTTGATGAGATGTCAACCATGAATGTGAAGGGCTTTTTTACCTTGCGGACTCGTTTAACTTTACACAAAGCCTCACTTGGCTGAGACAAATCAATGGTAGGGTTCGGTCTCACAGTGGTTGGATGCGTTGACACGGTCATCTGCGGCTGAGACAATGGCTGCGACATCGGCTGCGACGGCGGCACGACTGCATGATCTTCTCCTGGCGTGGAACTCTCTCGATTATCGGTGTTGACTTGAGGAATAGGTGTGGTGACTTGTGTCGGTGAAGCTGAAATGTTCGTCGGCATAGTTGGCTGTGAAGATTCTCTTGGTGGGGATCTTGAGACTAGAAGCTTGGGAATTGATGATGACGCTGCGTTGTCGAAAGTTGGAGACGGTTCGGTCTGATTGGCGCTGTTTCTCGGTGTTGAAGATGGCGGTAACTGATGACGGCCGATTCCGGGACGTGGGGGTGAAGTTGAGAAAGGTCTTGGGTGAAGAAGTGGGCTGTTGGAGCTGGTGTTGGTGGTGATTCGCTGAAGTGATCAACAGCCACTATCAAGGATAAACTCCTCACTACTAGTAGAAAAAACGTGCATGCAAGTGGCGGTGTTGAAAAGGACTGGACCTTCAGAATCTTTGGACTCATTTTGACTTGTAGAATGACTTGCCATGTTTGCTATGGCTGCCTTACCCTTTTCGGATAGTAGCTGAGGTGGGGGAACCCAATTAGGAGGCTTCTTATGACAAGCATACCACGGATGACCCCACTCATGACAACAAAAACACTCGAAATTAAACTTTTTAGCATTTGAGGCTTGGCTGAAATTATTGACTCTTGGCGTATAGACTCGTGCATTCCTAGGCTGATATTGATTGGGAATAGAAGGCCTTGGCTGGACATAGGGACTTGACTTATAGGGAGGACTTGACTGAGCAAAACGAGAGGGTTTGTATGGGTTGGAAGGTGACTGAAAATTCGTACCATAGTAAGGTTGAGGGCGGTTTGGGCTGAAATTTCCTTGCCTCTGGGATTGGTTGCCATATCTTGTAGCTGCTGCAGCACTCCACGCACCCTCGTCACTCCGCTTGTTTCGTGCAAGGTCTCGACTTTGCTGCTCGTTGACAAGGGCTTCGAAGATGAACGCACGGGTCTTCATTGATTGCGGAAGTGCTTGTAGTGTTGCACGGAAAGTGTCCCACTCCGGTGTAAGGCCGGTGAGGATGACGGTCTTGAGAAGAGACTCTGGAATCTCCAAGCCGATCGCGGCTGCTTCCTCTAGCATCATTTCAGCTCGTTGAAGGTAAGTTTGGGCTGGTCCTTCTTCTTCCATCTTGAGACTCATGAAGCGGCTCCACATCTCGGCCTGGCTGCTTTCGGATTTTGACTGGTGCATAGACTTCAGTCGGCTCCATGCTTCCTCTGCGCTGTTTGCCTTTGTAGAGCAGGGTAGGAGCGACTTCAACTGCTGCTCGTGAATGCTATTGAGTAGGTAGAGGAAGGCCTCCTTGTTGCGCCGTTTGTAGAGTCGTTTTTCAGCTTCTGAAGCATCTGCTGCTGGTTTGGCTGCTTCTCCAGTGTAGTAAGGCCAGAGATCCAGAAGGGATGCAGTGAGCTCAAACTGAGTTGCCCATGTTGGAAAATCTTTGCCGTTGAACTTGGGGAGGTGAAGCTTAGGCATGAAGGAGGTGAGTGGTGAGTATGTAGTTGAAGAACTGCCTGGTGCAACTGCTTCCACTAATCCTGTAGCTCCTGATGTTGACTCAGAAGCTCCTCCGGCTGGCTGGAGTGCAGGGCCAGATGGGTTGTCTCCCGCCATGGATGGATTGTGCTAGGATAGGAAGGTGGTGGCGCTCGGTTGATCGAAACGACGGGCTCTGATACCAACTTGCAAAACAGAGTAGCTTTGATGACTGGTAGGCTGGAAACTTGGCTGGAAAAGCTCAACAGAGCTGCTGGACTTGGCTTGATGAGAGAAAACTTCACTATGATAAAGATTAACAAGCCCACTAAAGCACAACTTCTTAAGCATTACAAACATGCAGATTGATAGCTCAAACTAGGCTGCTAGACAAGGCAACTTCCTTGGGAACTTGGGCACAATTCCGATTCCATGAACCTTGAGTGACTTGAGAGCCACATGAGGTGCATGAATAAGAAATCTCTGGAATGTACTGTTATAGCTGATTCTGTTTTGTAGAAACCTGTAGAAACTGTCGACCCTTCTGTTTGAGAGCAATCCCGAACTGTATCGAGTCTTCGGCTGCAATCTGATTTGCTGCGGAAGTTTCTGAATTTTCGCGAAGCCTTCAATCCATCGCCGACATTCTTGCTGCTCCTTGTGTGCAAAGGGCTGGGGCGGCAGAGACTCGATTCTCCAACACCTGGATGGCTGCGTGCAGTACATGCGCTGCGGCCACCAACACACGTGCAGTCCCCAACAAGGCAGGCCGACCCTGGTTTGCCTTGTTTTGAGGCCAGAAGTCAGTCTGGCGAAACGTATGGACGAAACGTGACAGGCTTCGTTAATGCATTCGCCGAACTTCCCGCCACCTAAGCGAGGTTCATGGTGCGTGTAACAGACATGTGGGTAGATACACACTGCCACGTGTATTAAGCCTGTGTGGGGTACAAGCGCATTATCAGCCAGGCGTTGTTCGCCAAAACCATTGAATCGTGTGGTAACCAAAACCAACAATCCGAAACTCAAGACCAATGCATGGAACAAACAACCAAGAGCACGTCTTGGAATAGCCAGGGAGAACAGGCCCCAGGAGTGCCACACCACGCTCAACCTTCTAAGTTTAAGGGCGCGTAACCATTTTGCATTTTTAGGTTTTGACGTACCGTCCGATTATATGGAATCGGACTGTACATTTATAACAAAACGAACTGTCCAATTTGAATGTTTGCAACTTCGGACTGTCCGAAGGTAGATGTGACACTTTTTCCACATGCTAGGGTTTCGCGATGGTTTTCCCTTCGCCATCTCAAATGTACACCAGTAACGCCAGTCACAACCCATCGCAATTTTCGCCAGTTGAGTTCAGCGCTTCGGACAAACATAGGAAATGTCAAACAAGCACAAAGGCCGTCTAAACCAAGCCGATTCAATGTCAGAAGGACCAGGTATCTGAGACTCTTGTGTTTCGGGAACAGCCGTGGCAGGAGTGGTAGTATTGGTAGAGCCCGGTGGCGGAGAGTTGGGAGTGGTGTTGTAAGACTGGGTGTTCTAGGCGTAGCTAGAGGGATCCATTGTGTAGAGAAGTGAGTAGTGATGAGTAGTGGGTCCATGTCGTGGCTTCTTGTATTGTAGTATGGCTAGTTGTGATTGGTCAATGTTAATCTTTGCATCCGAGTCGCATTTTTTCATGTTTTGGCGAGGCGGTCCGCTGAAATCCAATTTCGCCCGCCAATCGCGTGCGCGGACAGGCGGGCAGTCCGTTTGTGATTCGGACAGTCCGATGTCAGAGTTTCGTGTCGTTGGAAAGCAGAAAAAGTGTCGTGACAGTTCAAATTTTTAGCGACGTCGCAAACGTCCTCGCGAAGAACTGAACGACATTAAACGAAAATGGTAACCCTTCGCCACGACGGACGGTCCACGGTTCGTTCCGTCGGGTGCAAAATGGTTACGCGCCCTAAAACAGCCCAACGAAATCACAAGAGCATCGTTCTATCGCCCTCCCGCCTCTCACAATGCCTCGCTTTCACCGTCGTGAGCAGCTCCCGCTCCATATTAAGCGCGCTATTTGCGCGCATCACGTGGAGCACCCTCGCCTGCGTCATGTTGACCTGGCGAGGTGGTGCTTCTCCCAGTACAAACTGCGCCCGGACCGCTCCACCGTCGGGCGCATTCTGAAGTACGCCGAGCGCTGGGTTGTCGTGGCGACGGGCGACAACCAAGTGCGCTGCCGAGGCGACGCATGGCCTGAGCTGGAGCAGGCCATGGCGCGTTGGATCGCAAACGCTGAGCTCGCTGGCGTCCCTCTGACGCTGCAGACAATCCGCGACCATGTCGCCACCATGGCGCGGAACATGGGCATTCCGCCCACATTTCGCTGCTCAATCGGCTGGGTGCGCCGTGCGTTGCGGCGCCAGGGGGTGAGGTGCCGTGCCTCAGCCGGCGAGGCGGCCACCGCTGACATGGCCGCCGTGCGCGAAGCCCAGGCTAAGCTGCCGCAACTTCTCAATTACCTCGGCCTCAGCCCGTGCGACACATTCAACCTGGACGAGACCGCGCTCTGGTTGTCCGTGCTGCCGAGGCGAACGTACAGCAATGGTCGCATTCCAGGGCGCAAAGTGTCGAAGGAGCGTCTGACCATGGCGTTCCTCGTCAATGCGGACGGGAGCCACGCGTTCCGCCCGCTAGTCATCAGCAAGGCGAAGCGACCGCACGATTTCCGGCTGGATTACGATCCCGAAGCCCTATGCTACTGGCGTCACAATGCCAAAGGTTGGATGACAGCACCGGTGCGCATTTTTCTTCGTTTGAGTGAGCAACGTTGTTTTATATTTGTGTTCCCGCTGGTTTTTTAACTTTGCATTCCTCACAAAATCCCCTGGCTGCCCTTCCCCTCCGACATTTGTTCACTCATTTCATTTCGCAGCTCAATGCTGCAATGTACGCGGAAGGATGCCACATCGCCGTTTTGCTTGACAACGCGAGCTCGCACATGCTACGAAGCGAGCACGCGTGGAGCGAGATTGTTTGCGGCATGAGGACGACTTGCCTGAGCAAAGTCCATCTCGTCTTCCTGCCGCCGAACACCACTGCCTTCACCCATCCCCTTGACCAGGGCATAATTGCCACCGCAAAAGCCCGCTACCGCCAGCACTGGCTGCGGGCCTTGACGGCTCTTTGGAACGCCGACGGGGCAACAAGCGCTGTCGCGCGGTACCGACTAAACCTGCGCGACGTGTTGGGGTGGTTGTCGGATGCGTGGACGAGTGTCGGTGCGCGCACGATCCAGAGGTGCTGGTGGCGCACGGGATGTCTCCCGCTGTCGTGGTCTATGGAGTTGACGCACGTTCACGACGACGAGCCCATCCCTGCCGTTTATCCTGACATTGAGCTCGATGACGACATCGACGATGTTGGCACGCTCATCAGTGGGCTCGGCCTTGGCAACGGCACGATGACGGCCGCCGAGTACGTCGCCATCGACGACGCCAAGCCGACGTGCGCCGAACGCGCGGCGGAACAGACGACGGCGGAGGCAGAGGCGGGCCTGGTGGTGGAGCTCTAGGAGGCGCCGACGACCATGCAGGCCGTCTACAACGATGTCGACCCCGTGGGCCGTGAAGCGTGGCGCACTGCCTGAGCGGCATGCGAAATGCTCATCGGATATGCTCGCGCCACATGCATCACGCCGCACGACCTCTGCCACCTCTTCGATATTCGCAACCCCATCATTATCGAGAGGATGGAGTGGGCAAGCCTGGCTTTCAATCTCAACGTGGCCCCTCCGCCAGTGCCTACCCCCGGCGCTACACCCACGCCCGAGGCCCCTCGTCCGTGCGGCCGTGTGCTGCCTGGCTGGATGACCCAGCCGTCCCGCCGTCAGCAGCTGCTTGACGCCGGTGTGGGCGCCGTGATGGACGGGTATGTTGACGCGGCGGAATGGATGCGCCTGTGAGTTGTGCCTGAGGCCACTGTGCAATGAGCTGAAGGCATTTTGCAGTGCACAAGTGTTCACTCCTTGTGCACATTTGTTCGTGTTTCGATGCTGGAGTTGAATGGGGCTGAGGGACATGTGGGAGATGCTGATTGGATGTGTATCGTGTTTTGGTAGTTTGGTACTATGAGGAACATTTGATGAAGCTGGTTGTTTCATTGTTGTAGCATTCGCTGAGTAACGTGTAACACACAGCATGGACAAGTAGGGCCAACCAGTACTGTTGAGAATCGGACAAATCGGATGGTTACCATGTTCAGTGTTGAAGCACACCTAAAGCCTGACGAAATGAACGAAACCTACGCGAAATGCAGGTTTAGCTTACAGACCCCCTTCACAAGGCAATCGGGAGGGGCTCTAACGGGCATTAGCTGTAACGGATTGCGTATGTTCTGAAAGGCATCTCTTATGTCAGTGAAAAACCAAACAGAATTCTTATGTCCAATTGAATGCTAGGTTCTTATGTATCAAGTACTGTGTCAACAAGCTTACGTCAAACACACCAGTGGCATCGTGACTCATAGTAGTAGACGTACATAGTAAGAGCAACAACCAAACAAAGACATAAGAATGGAAGCTTGGGTAAAAAGTTTTTAGAAAAGTAAAAATAATACATGTTTCACCATTGAAGGAGAGGTTCTGGAGGGGCACAGAAATTTGACTTATCTAACCCTCCATGAAGCAATTGGGCGATTACCCTATGAGCCTATCCCCCTATTTATGCCTTCGCACATTTCCTAAAATGGTGGTATGCATGTCCGATGAACCGGTTTCTGATTAGGCATGTCGGGTGATCAATGTGACTCCGTAGTCAGACAGTTGTGCTTTGGATTGGAAGGTGAAGTGGAGATTTTGTACGACGAGTACATTGTTTATGTGTGTTTTGTCAGAACATATAGCTTACTTGTTTCTGTAGGCTATAGTGGGGTATCCCATAGGGGGTACAACCCAATTAGGGTTTCCTATTTGTACCCACTTCATTTCATAGTCATTCACTCCCGTTCATTCAGTTTCTCATGGTATAGAGCGGGTCCCTTCTAAGGACCGTTTTTTTTTGGGCCCACCCACGATCTTTTTTTTTTTTTCTGCCCGGAGCGCGCCCTATTCTCCTCGAGGCGCGCTCCCCCTAGTGCGCGTCGAGCTGCCCTTGTGGCGCCCCGAGAGTCGCGCGCGCGACTCATTTTTTTTCGCGCGCGCGGCCCGGGCCCCACTTCGTGCGGCCCTTACAGCCGCGCCGCGCCGCCCTCTCGGCTCTGCCGCGCCGCGCCGCCCTCAAGACGGCCGCGCAGCCTCTTCGTCGCTGCGGCAGGCCCCCCCCCCCCCCCCCCCGCTGCACCTCTGTCGGCCCCGCCGCCGCCTTACCTGACGGCCGCCGCCTCACCTGACGGCCCGCCGCCTCGCCCTCTGGCCCGCCACCTCACCAGACGGCCCTGCCGCCTCACCTGACGGCCCACCGTCTCACCTGCTGGCCCGCCACCTTACCTGACGGCCCCGCCGCCTCACCTGACGGCCCGCCGCCACCTTTCCTGACGGCCCCGCCGCCTCACCTGACGGCCCGCCGCCTCACCTACTGGCCCGCCACCTGACCTGACGGCCCCGCCGCCTCACCTGACGGCCCGCTGCCTGACCTGCTGGCCCGCCACCTCACTGACGGCCCGCCGCCTCCCCCGCTGGCCCGCCACCTGATCTGACGGCACCGCCGCCTCACCTGACGGCTCGCCGCCTCACCTGCTGGCCCGCCACCTGACCTGACGGCCCCGCCGCCTCACCTACCGGCTCGCCACCTCACCTGCTGGCCCGCTGCACCCTGACGGCCCCGCCGTCCCCTGTCCCGGCCCCGCCGCTGCACCCTGACGGCCCCGCCGTCCCTTGTCCCGGCCCCGCCACTACACTGCAGCCGAGCCGCCCAGCAGCAGCCGAGCCGCTCAGTAGCAGCCGAGCCGCCCAGCAGCAGCCGAGCCGCCCAGCAGCAGCCGAGCCGCCCGGTACCCGAGCCGCCTGAGCCGCCCGAGCCGCCCGAGCCGCCCGAGCCGCCCGAGCCGCCCGAGCCGCCCCACCAGCCCGAGCCGCCTGCTGCTGTCCTACCCGACTCTCCTAGCCCGGTGAGACTTTCAGCTGCTGCCATGGCCACCCCCAATGTTCTTACTTTTGACGCTGAGGGGAGGGCCATTGACTTTGCCGTCTGGATTGAAGACCTGCAGCTGTACTTACTGTGTGATGCGATAGATGAGGTCTCTCTCTTTGACTTTGTCTCTGGCGCTGTCCCTGCCCCGCCTGCTGATGCTGACTCTGCTGCTCGCTCCAAGTGGGCGACCCGCGATGCTGCTGCACGTCTTGCTGTGCGTCGCCACCTCCCTTCCTCTGAGCGTGCCCACTTTAGTCAGTGCAAGACCGCTCAGGCCTTGTACGACGCTGTAGTTGCACGCTACTCCTCCCCTTCCTCCGCTACCCTTAGCCGCCTCATGCTACCGTTTCTCTTCCCTGACCTCGCTTCCTTTCCCACTGTTGCTGACCTAGTTACCCACCTCCGCGCTAGTGACACCCGCTACCGTGCTGCCCTTCCTGCTGAGTTCCGCGCTGCGAACCCTCCTCCCATGTACATCACTCTCTACTTTCTCGTCACCCGTCTCCCTGAGTCCCTTCGTGTCGTTAGGGACCAGTTTCTCTCTGTCTGTCCCACCACTCTCACTGTCGACCTCCTTGAGGAGTCCCTGCTAGCGGCTGAGAAGAGTATTGTCGCTGTAGGGGCCTCTCGGGGTGACCCTCGCACCCCCATCTTTGAGGGGTGTGGTCCTTCCCCCCTGCTGCCCTCTGTCGCCTCTGCCGCTACGGCCGACCTAGCTGGTTTTGAGTCGGTCGGCGCGGCGTCTGCCCCCAGCGACAGACGCCGCTCTGGCAAGGGCAAGGGGGGCAAGGGGGCGGGTGGAGCTAGAGGGGGCGGTGGAGGAGGCGGTGGGGGTGGAGGGGGGAGTGGGGGTGGCGGTGGGGGTGGTGGCGGGAGTGGAGGTACTAGTGGCGGCGGTGGAGGCGGAGGTGGCGGCGGAGGTGGTAGCGGAGGAGGCGGTGGGAGCGGTGGGAGCGACGGTCCTGGTGGGGGAGGTGGCGGTGGAGACGGGGGTGGCGGTGGAGGCGGGGGTGGCGGTGGAGGCGGGGGTCGGAGTGGCTCGTCCCAGCGGAGCAGCTCTGGGGTTGGTCAGCGCCAGCAGCAGCAGCAGCACCAGCAGCAGCAGCAGCCGCAGCAGCAGCAGCGCTCTCGCACCGTCCCCGGCCCTCAGCAGCTCCGTGAGTGGTACTTGCAGCGTCAGCGCGGTGGTGCGCTTGGTCCCTGCCCCTACGTTCTTCGCACCGGTGACCGTGCGGGGGAGAGGTGTGGAGGCGCCCACACAGCCCATCGCTGCTTTGGCCGCCTGACCGACGCCTGGCGTCAGCAGTTTCCGGAGGCCGCTGAGATCCCCCGCTGGGGAGAGCTGTCTAGGGCTGGAGTAGCTATTTATGATCTTGACTTTGATGCTATTCTCTCTGCTATGTATGCTGTGACTGGTAGTGATGAGGATGACTGTTACCGGTGTTTCCCGCCCGACCCGGGCATTGGTACTGCCGCGTCAGGTACTAGTGAGGCTGCAGCTCCAGGTGCCAGTGCGTCTGTGCTCTCAGGTGCTGGTGAGTCCGCCCTCTCAGGTACTGTGTCGGCTTCGGCCTCTCACACCTTCACCCTTGACTCTGGAGCGTCTCGCTCCTTCTTTAGGGACCGCACCACTCTCACGCCGCTGAGTCGGCCGGTTGCGGTGTCCCTGGCTGACCCCTCTGGGGGACCTGTCCTGTCTCGCTTCTCCACTGTCCTCCCGTGTCCAGCGGCCCCCTCTGGCACCCTGACTGGTCTCTACCTCCCCTCGTTCTCGACGAACTTGGTGAGTGGTGCTGACCTCCAGGATGCAGGTGTCCACCAGTTCACCCCTGCTCGTCAGCGGGTGACTCACTGTACGGAGGCGGATACAGGTCGTCACCTGGCTACGTTTACACGTCGGCCAGGGTCGAGCCTGTACACACTGACCACTGCTTCTCCTCCAGGTGCTGCGTCTGGTAGAGTCCCTTCGTCTGGTCAGGTGTTTGCTGCAGCGTCCAGGTCTGGTCCTGAGTCTGCCCCCTGTTCGTGTCGTCCTCTGTCTCACGAGACCCTCCTCTGGAACCACCGCCTTGGCCACCCCTCTCTGCTTCGGCTCAGAGGCATGGCCTCGCGGGTCCTTGTGTCTGGTCTTCCCCGGTCCCTTCCTCCCCTTCCTCCGGGCCCTGGCCCTGCCTGTGTCCCCTGTGTCGAGGGGCGCCAGCGTGCTGCCCCTCACTCCTCCCAGTTTCCTCCGACAGAGGCCCCGTTGCAGACGCTTCACATGGACGTGTGGGGCCCAGCCCGCGTCCGTGGACAGGGTCAGGAGCGCTACTTCCTGCTGGTGGTTGACGACTACTCGCGTTACACCACAGTCTTCCCCTTGCGCAGCAAGGGTGAGGTCACTGAGGTGTTGATCGACTGGATCCGCGCAGCTCGTCTTCAGCTTCGGAGGAGCTTTGGCTCTGAC